TTTTATGCAAAGGCAGACTCCGTACGCTAGTGTACGGGGATACGCTAACGTATGGGGATACAGTACGGGGATATGCTAACGTACGGGAATACAGTTAAACGTACGGGGATATGCTAACGTACGGGAATACAGTAACGTACGGGGATATACTATACGCTACACTTCTATCTCCTTACCTTAGCGGATGACTCGTCCGCGGGTGGCGGGCTCAACCCTCTCCGCCAGTGGTGGGACCGACTCGTCGGGGATGGGCCGGCGTTCGGGTATTTCATTAACCCCAGCAAGTCCGTCCTCGTCGTCAAGCGGGACAAGCTAGAGGCAGCCGAGACCATCTTCGCCGGCACGGGTGTGTCTATCACCACTGACGGGTGCCGTCACCTTGGATCAGCCATCGGAACTGATCAGTTTGTGCAGGAGTTTGTGGCTTCCAAGGTGGCCACCTGGTCGCAGGAGCTGTGCAAGCTGACAGATTTCGCCCGGTCACAGCCTCAAGCAGCTTACTCTGCACTGGTGAACAGCCTCCAACACCGGTGGTCCTTCCTGTGTCGGGTTCTCGATGGTGCTGCAGAACAGCTGGCACCCCTGGAGGACATCATCCACCGCCGCCTAATCCCTGCCATTAGTGGACGGACGGCGCCCAGTGAAGCTGAACGCATTTTGCTCACTTTCCCCTGCCGGCATGGAGGCCTCGGCGTGGCCAACCCTGCCACTTTTGGCTCACAGTACGGCACCTCCAGGCTAATCACCACTGCGCTGTACGACAAGATCATGGCGCAAGAAGAGCACCTCGATGATGCTCTTGCCTGTGTCCGCAGGGCCAAGAGTCAGGCTCGCTCTGAGGCCAGAAAGGCAATGAAGATAGCTGCCGATACGTTCCGCACCGAACACAGCGAACTCGATCTCGCTATCAGTCTGGCAGAGGAGAAGGGAGCATCAAGCTGGCTTACCTGCCGACCCATCGCTCGCCATGGCTTCGCTTTGTCGAAGGGGGAATTCCGGGATGGCCTCTGCCTCCGTTACGGTTGGACGCCTTCTCGCCTGCCCACCACCTGTGTTTGCGAGAAGGCATTCACCACTGCTCACGCCTTGTCCTGTCCTTTCGGTGGGTTCCCCTCGATCCGCCACAACGAGGTGCGCGACATACTGGCAAGCTCATTGAAGGGTGTCGCCCACAACGTCGCAGTGGAGCCACATCTCCAACCCCTGACTGGGGAGCAGTTTCAGCTCCGGTCAGCATCAACCGAGGATCAAGCTCGTTTGGATGTGGTGGCCAGTGGAGTTTGGGGGGGTCGGTTCGAACGCACTTTTATTGATGTACGGGTGTTCAACCCTTATGCGTCTTCGAACCGCACCTCCTCTCTCTCTGGCTGCTACCGGCACCATGAGCAAGAGAAACGGCGTCGATATGATCGGAGAGTCCGAGAAGTGGAGCGATCCACTTTTCTCCCCTTTGTGCTCTCTTCCACCGGAGGATGCGGCAAGGGTGCCGCTGCACTGGTGAGCCGGATTGCACATCTCCAGTCGCTACGTGGGAGGGAGGCGTATTCTGTGCTAATTGCCCACCTCCGCTGCAGGCTGTCTTTCGCCCTGCTGCGTTCGAGTGTCATGTGTCTGCGTGGGGCTCGCCGAGTTTGGCAGCCTCCAATGGATGGCTGTGCCTCCCTGGCTGTCGTGGAGGCTAGGATGTCCCGTTGAGCCTTGCCCCGTGATTGTGCGGACTATGCTATGCTTCTCTTGCTGTCTGATCACATGCGACGTCATCATTATGTGATTTGTTTTCAATCCTCCGCCATGGCAAATTGTGTTTTGTTCGCCCGTAAAAGAGGCTTTTACTACTAAAAAAAAAAAAAAAAAAAAAAAAAAAAAAAAAAAACTTCTATCTCCTTACGTTTGAGATTCAAATTGTTCGTACTTATTTACAGATCATTACATAAGGTGTGCAGCCCGCTCTTCAGACTGTTTTGTGACTAGAGTCAATGCCACACACACAGCGTCAATCACCCGCTCGCAGGTTACTCTGTCTCTTGCTCTTCCCCCGGCTAATAACCGCTATGGCTTGTACGCATTAAGCTTCTTAGGTGCAGATCGCTGGAATTCGCTCCCTGCTTCTGTTCGTATTTGCTCCACGCTATCAGACTTCCGCTCATCTATACAAAAACATATAGGGTACCCCGTAAGAAGGCCTTAGGCCTGTGGGAATGCCCTATTAAAAATTTAATAAATAATAATAATAATAATTCAAAATTTAATAATAATAATAATTATTATTAACTCGGCGAACATCTGGCGACAGCCGACCATTCGGTTTCCGCCGTGAAGCTTTTAATATGGCCGAATAGTACCTCCTATGCCTAGGCCTCGACCAAATATGCTTGCGCATATTTCCGCATATTTTGTGAGACGGTTCATATATGGCATATATGGCATATTGAGCGACAAAGGGAATATTGGAATGAAGCCAGCATATAAATTCAAAATTAATATTCTGAAGAAAATGAGGACAAAAATTATGGACAAAATGCGTTCAGAAATGCCTTTTATGGATGAATTTGGAATGGTTGAGGCGTTTGCTACATTTCCCCATGGATGAACGCTATCGCTACGGTTGCTGGGGTGTGTTCCGCATACTAGTATGTTTTGATTTGCACCATAACTTGATAGCCGTGAAGCCATGCCAATGAATATTCCAAGGTTGTAATTTTACTGAAATGATCTACACTTTCTGCTTATGTCGGGCATATTTTGGCATATCTTTTGCATATCTTGCTGAGCCTTTGGCATATTACCGGTATGGACGTTTTCCCTGATATGCGACGAGCATAATAATATTATGCTTTTTTTTAGCATATTTGGTCGAGGCCTAGTGCCTCCCTCTTCCACCGATCCTCATTTCCCCCATTTCTCTCTGATTGTTAATTATTCTGTTCGAACTTGGCTTGCCGGGACATTTACATGTATGTGCGATTGACTGCTTTCTCATTTTCTAGAGTACAGCTTTGTCTGTGGCGTGCCACTTTTCTTTTTTTTTATTCCATCGCCATCATAATATTGGGCATCATGATAATCAATGCCCGTTTGGTTTGCGATGTCAAAATAAAACTTCAAACAAACGTATTTACAGTGACGCACCGTTTCCAGCGAGCAGTATTGGACAGGGAGCTTCATTTCATCACCAAGCTTACTAGGCTCCAGCGGCAAATGCTAGCACCCAAAGTAGCATAAAAGGGCCTTTTTGTGACTCCACACGATGCTAGCATAAACAGCAGTTTTTACCGGCATCCGATACATTTTTGCCAATTTTGGCATTCTGGATGTGGAATTCGGTCTAGATTACACTATGAAACTAGTATTACGGTACTACCACATTGATAATTGCATGCACTACATTCAATTTGTTTGCATTACCTAGTTGTGACCAAGACCCACATTGCCATTGGTACTTCTTGGTATTTGCTCTTTCGTATTGCAAATATTTCCATAGCAACATGATGCCAACATCGCACCTTTAAAAACTCTTTTTACATACCTGCTTTGTGAGAATTCATAAATAGCACGGAACACCGTTTTCAACCCAAATGTTTCACCATTACCATTAATAGGTAGCATAATTCGTGTTGTCTAGCATCCAAACTACAAGTTGTAGCATCTTTCTGAGTTGTCAGCTACATCCCAAAAAGCATCTTGGCAACATTTAGCTAGCATCTGCCGCTGGGGCCTACCTCTTACCCCAATGATGTGGACATGCCTTCTTCTTTTTTTTTTACAGAATGCACCTCCCGGTACTGATAGACCATAACAAAGAGAGGAGAAGAAGAAGACAAAAGAAAATAATGATCAAGACAACAAAGGAGAAAGACAGACAATGTACTGGTAGGGGCAATCACCACCAGTTACTTGACAATCAGCTCATGCGATAACATTGCACAAAACTGACGTTCTACAACTACAAATTTAATATAACTGGCTATCAGCTCTAGCACCTCTTGGATGCGCACTCCAACCAGGGGCGCGTGCTCGGCCCCCCAACTAGGGGGGTGCACGGGAGCCGAGGGAGCCCCCCCCCCCCGGCAATTTTCTGCAATTTGTTTGCAACCTTTCTTGAATTTTAGAGCATATTTGCATACATTACAATTGCAATTACCCAGATTGAAAATGTTGGGGGGGTGCACGTGCCCCCCGTGCCCATCGCCGAGCACGCGCCTGCCAACAGCCTTCCAACTTGGAAGGTTCTAACTTCTAAGCCTAGTTCTAATAATACAGTGTACATGTACTCGGAGTTTCTTGCATAAGAAAACCACAAGCAACTAATGATTTGATAATGCATAGTCGAGCTAAAAGCCTAATGAACTGATGGGATTGGCGAAGATAGGAATGCAGGTGGCAGGACGCGGTGCGTTCACGCAATCATTCCTGCTGAGGTCTTCACCTAGGCTATAGTGTTTGTGAGCAGTTGGAAGTCTTTACCAGTGCTGTGTGAAGCAGTGAGAAAGGCCGCGGTAAATGTGCTGATACGTCAGGCCGGGAGTAGTGGATACAAAGACGGGGTATAAAGGGATTGGGATTATAGTTCTTAGTTATAGCGGTGCATGGTTGGTTGACACCCTTCCTAGATCCTCTCGTTCTCACTATCGGCTGTTTTGCGGCGAGCCAGATGTTGTATAAAATATACAATAACGAGTCAACCTTGACAACCATCGTTCGTGCAATAGGAAAGTGTCGTTATTCGGGTGGTTAAAGGTATCCAGTCAATTGGCCACTATTTGTAGGTCTGGAGAAGTTAGAGCAGTTTATGTGGGTTATCATGGAGCAAACATCTGCCAGAATAATATTGGTCAGGCTCAAGCCATGGACAAGCCATGCCGGCTCCAACGTGCTGGATCAGCCTGTCCACCAACCGATGGACCAACTCGCATACCCCCCCCCCCCCCCCGGCACGCGCACACACACACACACGCACACACACCACACCACACAGTGACACACCTTGTAAAGACACTGGCCGAGTTCGTCAAACTATACAATGCAAACACAGTTGTAAAAAAACAAATCACCGCTAAATACAAGTTGTCAATTAGAATGATGTTGACGACTGCAATGCAGCATCATGGAGTGATGGCGGTCAGACGCACTTGCGTTGTGAAACGGTGGCAAGCACAGAGCGAGCGTTGTGTGGCTGGGTGTAATCCCACAGTTTGGTCCATTTTTATCATGATTACTTCACGACATATTGGTACTGTGTTGGAGTTTTAAACAAAGAATTCTACCAGTGAGGTTAGCTCCGGCCGAAGACATCCAAGAGGAAGTTTACGATACCAGTCCAGTCGGTACGAAGCGTAGGTCGCAATCCGAGGCAAATCACCGCCGTGCCATCATCTACTCGCAAGCTAATGTGGCGGCCAGGCATGCCGATATCAACCGCCCTTCAGCGGCCATGTTCCAGGCGCGTACTGGGGTCGGTGGCGAGCGAAAGAGAGCACTCAGCCAGAGCACTGTCGAATAGAGTGATGTGTACCGCCATTTCAAAAAGTTGTCAGGTGTGTTCTACCACCATTACTCTAGAATAAATAGGCATCAGAATATGCCAGCAAGCACACAACTACTACAATCATGGAATGTATATACACTAGCACCACATTGGAATGTATATCAAGGAAAGACGTGTTATCCAGAGAGAATAACCAATAGAAAGGTTCACTAGTATCATGTTACAGATGACTGAGGATGGCTTGGAATCCAGGCTGAGGATGGCCTGGAATCCAGGCTGCTGGTTCCGGCACCTGACTGGATGCCCGTTCACGGCAGCACATGCTGCATGCTGCATGCCGTTGCCATTGCATTCGACGAGTATTTGCCTGCAAGCACTCCATGATTGACCTAGAGCGATTGGTCTGTCAGCAGTCAACACGGTGTGTGCCGCATGAGTACGCGTCAACAAACCACATGTCCACACACACACACACATGCACACACAGACACACACACATGCACACACACACGTGCACGCGAGCGCGCAAACACACACACACACAGGTTTCACAAAATTAGGACAGGAAAATCATCGGAAAATGTGTCGCAAACCAGGATCAGTTAAAATTCAAGTGGGTTTTCGAACATCAATTCGACCAAACTCGGACTTTCATTTCAAATGCTAGCAGGCCAGTGATTATTTTGGATGAATGGACTATACAAATATAAATACACAAAGTGTCCTTGCTGAAAAAGTGCTCAATACCTCAAAAAGGGCAGACCTTACTACACAAGACAGAACAACAGAGACCAAACATCTTTCTCGTAACTTTAAATATAAATACAAAAATACAATTATTGCAGTGATGGCCACTTCCACCCAGCTATATGTACACTACTACACAAGATTGGGATAAACATTCCCTTTCCGGAAGTATGCCTCTGGCCAAGCGGTCAATAACGCAAAGGGCAGGTCTTCGTTATGTCCTCCCACAGAGACTAACAGATAGACAGACAGGCAGACAGACATGCCCATTGATTGACAGATAGATCAACAGACAGACAGACATACCGATTGATTGACAGATAGATCGACAAACAGACAGACAGACAGATAGATGGATAGACAGATAGGCAGGCAGACAGACAGACAGACGATAGACAGACAGACAGTCAGGTAGAGACAGTCAGGTAGACAGAGACAGACAGAGAGCCATAGAGCAACTTACACAGTCCGCTGGGAACCCGTGAGTGTGTGCAGTGCGCCAACACAATCGACACAATGGCCGACAGAATGCTAACAACAGCAATGATCCCGCCCGTACCAGGGTCTTTCAGGATTTCCAAACCGAAGGGGGCTTCGAATTCTTTCTCTACGAAGTGCACCATAAGTCCTGCTGTAGCGATCATGAAGATAGCTGCAAATATTGAACAAGAAAAGCCACGCGGACATCCACCAAAATAGATGGACTGGCATTATAAAGTAAATTTTTGGTTGGAGGAAAGCAAATCAGCACACGAAGCACAGAAGCCATATAATTTTTTTCGACTAGGCCTTTCATTCCATTACTCTTCAGGTCGAAAGTGCCGGTTATAAGGACTTGCTTACTACCTTGTTAATCACCATTGTATTCGACCTGAAAAGTAATGGAATGAAAGGCCTAGTCATTCTACAGTAGCACCTGAAGATAACCAACATCACAATCCCTGGAGCCTTTCTCTTAGCCCAAAACAGACATGAATGGAACCTTTCACTAATAATATTCTCCTGCATGATTTTAATCATTAAAATTAATTTTTATACATGTTACTTGTTCGACATGTATTTACTGTGTATTTTATAACAAAAATATTATTGAAAACCCAAATTTGGGTTGTTCGACATGTATTTACTGTGTATTTTATAACAAAAATATTATTGAAAACCCAAATATTTTTGTTATAAAATACAAAGTAAATACATGTCGAACAAGTAACGGAGTTGCGTGATGTCTGCGGCCTTCATCCTATTCATAGCTATATTAAAATTATTATCTTCACGTAGATTATTTGTATACATGTACGTAAATTTTCATTTGCTCTTCTGAAAGCTCTTCATCATTTAGTCGGAACTAGGTCTGCGGACCTGGTAAGAAGGCAGAAATGCCTGTTCACTTGGTGAAGTAAAATAAAATAAACAAACAAACTCACAGATGCGTAGAGCTCAATTTTGAGAAATATGCGAGGTATTCTTAATTTTTATTTGAAGAAGAGGTTGGTTCATGGTCGAGTGAGAATTCAAGTCGGCAGAAAAACTGCAAACATCCATGTAGGGGAGCAACACGCAGCTCCCCTTATTCTTATTACCGTAAAGTACTGCCAGAGCGCCCCACCATCTCATCCTTTTGTGGTCGTATTGTGGAGGCGGTCTGCTGTCTGTAGGTCAGACGACATGAACCATGTACACATATTGCACGTTTTGCAGTCAATCCGTGCCTTCCAGAGGACACAAGCTCCACACAAAAACATGCCAAGTGTGACCATAGTACACTAAGATTCTCACATCGTACAAACTTCGTTGCACTCTGCCATACGATTTTCCTTTCTCTGGCTGTAAAATCAAGGTGGGGCGCTCTGGCGAGACGGGGCGCTCTGGCGGTACTTTACGGTAGCATTGAAGAAGATACAGTAAACCCTGGTTTAAGCGACCACCCCACGGTGCAAGGAAAAGCGGTCGTTAAAGCCAGGTGGTCTTTAGAACCAGGTCCCACAGTGTCTGTGTACAACTGTCGGTGCATGGAAAAACGGTCGTTAAGAGCAGGTGGTCGCTAAAACGAGAGGTCGCTTACACCAGGTTTTACTGTATGCCCAGGACAAAACACATTCAATACAAGGTAATGAGCAGCAAAGAAAGGGCGTAACAAATTCCACGGTTGGCTTGAGACTCGGTTAGACTGAGTTCTCAGCGTCCGTAGGAACGCCACCACCCTGCAAAGATCAAAGGCGCAGGTGCAGTTCCTAAAGCGGTGGGAGGTGAGACGATTAGCCCGCCAGCAAAGTGGTCAAAGACCGAAAAATCCCATTCACTGCATGTAACAGTGTTAGAGAAAGCCACATCAGTGCTAGCCTAGGTAACATAGCAAAACACAGACAAGCACAACAGCCTATTGCATCTCCTCGGGGGGGGGGGGGGGGGTGTTGTGCATGTGTGCGTGTGTGTGCATGCGCGTGCTATAACACACACAGCACAAAACATGACAAATGAAAATAGAGATTCGCTGCCAGATAAAGCCACTTCAATCAGCCGTGCGGTGAAGACCAGGCTAACATTAGTGGCGGTCAATTCATCAGCCTTGCAAGCTGTTGAATGGTGTAATCCCAGCACAAGTTGCTATGTCTAAACATAGCTATTCGCTATCATCGCCTCAGCGATGGGCAGGAGTATGAGTATGAGCGTGCCATACGTACCAGAGCAGGAAGCCAGCACGCGGGGAACCAACAGCACGGCACGGTGAACATCACAGCGTTCAATGACGACCGAAGTAACGATGAGGGCTGCGAAAGAGAGCAGAGCCACTACATTGCAGCCCTGAGCGCTCTTGACCATAGATGGAAAAGGCACCCCTGCACAGGATCACAGGAAAGAGAGGCAACAACAGGAATGTCCAATTCTACCGCCCACAGCGGCACCAAGTCCCTGGCTACACAAAATGAAAACCTCTCCAAATCTCTCCAAAGCAAACTTCAAGTTCTTTCCATATTTTCGTCCAAGAGGGCATCCTCGGCTACAGAGGAGTTGCGCCATCCTTATTAGACTACAGGAATGTGTGTGTGTGTGTGTGTGTGTGTGTGTGTGTGTGTGTGTGTGTGTGTGTGTGTGTGTGTGTGTGTGTGTGTGTGTGTGTGTATAATGCCTCAGACTGGTCGGCGAGGCCGGGATCTAGAAAAGCTCATACGCATGTAGCTAAGTGTGTTCAGCACAGGTGAAACAGCTGCATTGCTTTTTATAGTGAAGCCTATCAATGCGACCACTTGCCAGTGGCTGCGTTCGATTATGCATTTGAATCGATTCATGAATCCGTTCGCATGCATTCAAGTCGCTCGATTTTCACGTCATGAGCACTGGAATCGATTCGGAATCCATTCACCCTATTCACATGGGGTGATGTGAATAGGGCGAATCGATTCATGAATCGCTCCGCGGGCATAATCGAACGCACTCACTGAATCTAGGACCAAGGGATACTATTCTCAGTCACATGACCATCGCTAAGGAGACCACCAACAGGGGCGTCGGAAGGTATTTTAGTGTGGTACGGTCAGCCATCTGAAGTACAATTAACTCGTGGGGGGGGGGGGGGTGGCTGAGCCAAAGTTTTTGGCAATTTAGAGCCCAAATCAGTGCATTTTATTGATTCACGGGGTACTTGGGGCAAAGAGTGGTACGGTCAATACCGTAGTGACCATACCGTGTGCGACGCCCCTGACCTATACACGGAGACCACATGTTGGAAGGTCACTTGAGCGGTGGGCTACGACAGGTTTCAACGCAATTCTGCTCCGAACAGGGTTATCGGAACCGAAACGTTGATGATACTTGAGCAGAGTGAAATGATATGCGAAGACTTGAGGGCTGGGTGGAAGCAGCTAGGTGAATAAGCCCATTGCGCATAGCCAAATACGGAAGGCATGAGAAATAATAGGGCATATGAGTACGCTGGGATCAGCAATGCACTGTTCAACACTCTACACAACCATAGACCAGCAATGCACTGTTCAACACCCTATGCAGCCATGCCCAGGTGGCTGTGTGTGTGTGTGGGGGGGGGGGATGCAAACTATGTCATAGTGCAATGGGATTATTGGAGTGCTGCTCGAGATTGACTTGTTTGGGCACATCTATAACAAGTGTGGATGTTCTCCAAAGAAAAAAAAGGTGCAACTCTGTGCATGGGTAAGTCACTGTAACCGACGACACCCATACAGGCGCGTGTAGCCCCACATGCAGCAGGGGGGGGGGGGGGGGGGCACGAGCACCCCCCCCCCCCCCCCCCCGCTAAATATTTCGACCTAGGATCAGCATGCACAGAATGACCATGAATGACTTGCATCATACTTCGCGCAGATCTGAGGCGGGAAATGGCGTAGTGCGTACAACTGAGCTGCAGCTGTGCAGAAAGAGACCTGCTTGAACGCACTACATCACTGAAATGATGTAATCAGGGAACTCCGCCGTGACAGCCACCCATCCTCAAGCTGCACACTCTGCTTTTCATGTACTGTTGGGCAAGCGTTTGCTGTGGAGCATGAGATGTGCTACATTTGAACTCTTGCGGCGTGACGTTTGGTTCTGCCCACACTCAACTTATTTGACCTCTTGCACCCTGTGAGTACTAAGCGGTTTTGGTTGCAGTTCTTACCTAGCCTTGTATCAGCGTACTTCAGGCAAACACTGCCACTTCCCGCCTTATTGCATATCTGCCATATACCGACCTCAGCGGTAACGATGTGAAGTCTCTTTTGGTCTGCGTGTATGTCCATGAAGGATGGGAGACCTGCAGGACGCAGGCAGCAAACATACATCACACGGCTATTCACCGATACACTGAAACCCATGCACCATAGTGCACAGAACACCAACATAACGCAACGACAGACTGCCTGGGTTCGAGTCCACGGCACCGTGGGATTCGAGTAGGACTTCTACGCGCGGAGTCCAGCATCTCTATGCTGTGGCGCATGCCAAGAACATGTCCACGGGTCTCTTGTATAATTATAATTCAAGTATGGCAGCCGGTCACGAGGGAACGTGTCTGTTTGGAACAGGAAAGTCCCAGTTTATACTCATACGCCATCTCAATGATTTAATTCGTGTGAGTGTAGAGAAAAGTGGCTTGCTTCTGGGCTGGCAAGAATATCCCCCCCCCCCCCCCCCACACACACACACCTCTGCCCAAATTTGATGGGATCCCCGGAGCTCCCCCCCCCCCCCCCCCCGCATAATCCGAAACATACGGCACATGTAGTACAAACACGACACATAACTGCAGCATAGCATGTTTTAATACTCTATCATTCCATCTTCTTGTGACAATTCCCAACAATCGGAATTTGTGTGGCAGGTTGGGAGAACAGGAATGCCCCCCCCCCCCCCTCCCCTTTACGTGGAAAATTCTGGTTTCCCCTCTGTCCGTGCGCGGGACCCAAACCTAAAACAAGTCCAGAAGCAGCCATGGGTGGTGGGGTAGGGCCCCTCAACGTGGCCCTGCAATCTGTCACAACGGAACGAGTGGGCGTTCTCTCACAGACTCCCACAGACCCAAGTCAATTTTTGAATTTTTTTAGGTTTAGCACGTGCTACGAGGTCGTACCTTTGATACAACATCCAGTGCTGGGACGTCCACAGCAAGCCATTTCCACAGCGCTGCACACCAAATCCAGGATACCCTCAGAAGCCGGCAAAGACTACCACTCACGTTCCGCTACTGCCTAGTACTGAATCCTACCTGACTTCTTGACACGACTCAAACTTGCCAAAGTCACTAAATCAACGTCAACTACAATAATCAAGCCACATATCTGCAACGTCACGAGGGTGCTGGCAAAAGTCCTGCTGCACGGCGGCGGGCTTTGTGCAGCCCAATACGTGGCTCAAAAACGTGATTTTTGGACTTGGAGCAAAATTCTGCACACTTTCGCATGTTTCCATGATACGACAAGTTGCGCACGGTCTGCTCACATTCAAATACAGTGCTGCCAACAAATGACAGCGTGCAACAAAAAAATCTTTCCTTGCAAGGGCACATTTTAGGCCATAACTCTTGAACGGCTGGTCAGATCGGGACACAATTTTCAGAGAATTTGCAGCTATTAAGGACGTTTAGCAATGCGAAAATTCGAACTTTTTGTGGTGGTGATATTTCGCGAAAATCTGTTTCGAAAAAGAAAACTTGTGAGGTTTAGCAATGCGAAATGACTTTTTCTCCAAGTTATTTGAATCTTGTAGTACCGTACCGTATATGCAGCTCAGTTTCAAGCAGGGGCTGTAAAATTACTACTCCCTGTAGTCAAATGCGTACCGAGAAAAGAGAAAGTTACTTTCGCAAATCACTGCAACTTCGCGTCCAAGTTTTCGAAGTTTCGAGCTTTTTTTCTGTACTCATTCCCAGACTCGAATTTTCTTTTGAACTTTCGCATTGCTAAACGTCCTTATTCAAGCTCTTTCAACTGACGTAGCACTCAATATGAATTTACAAATTCGATTTTCAGCGATTTTTTGGGTAGTCTGCCACCTTAATTTAAAAGAAGCTTGATTGATTGATTGATTGATTTCTATTTAAGGATTAAGTTCTAGGTAAAGTGATTCGACAGAGTCTGCCTGTGACTTACACGAGCCAGCAATCATTAAACCCATGGTCAGAACCGCCACGGCAAAGTACGAAATCTTCAGCACCGGAAAATCTGCCATCTTCAGACTTCTCTCCCTCTCTCTCTAGCTAGCTCTCTCAACTGCAGCTGATGACACTACGGGAATAGATAGTCCCACGGCGTGTCAAACGACCTCTTCCCTTGCGGAAATTGTGCGGCGTCCGAGCTCCCACTGGCACTGCAGGCGACGACTCGACGTGCAAGAAGGGACGAAACCTGGTCTAGGCTCCGGTCTAGATCTCCTCAAGTCTGTAAAACTACTGCCTCACACTGCACAGATCTCTGTCCATTTCATTTTCCATAGACAATCACCAGATCAGAGTCCAGTCCCGGCTTCGAAAGCAAAAGGAGGGAGTTTTGCTACTCCCTGATTTCAAGTGATTGAAAGCACCGACACGTGCTAACACGTGCTGGGTACGGTAGGCCTAAAAGTTGTACTTTTTTTTATGCAGATTAGCCACTTTTCGGACCTGAATATTATTCAAATCCTCGTTGAAAAAGTCCAGAAATTTTTTTAAATGTCTCGAGTCGTTTGCAGCTTTCTTGTAGTGCCTGCTTGCGGAATTTTTGCCTTCCGAAAACCTTGATTGGGCGTTTGACCTTATGGTCAATATGGATGTCAGTTGCAGTGGTCGTTAGTCATTGTCTCGACGTCGCTGGGAGTGTTCTTGTGGGAGCTGTCAAATATTCGTAAAAATCAGGCAAGTGGCAAAGAAAAAACTCGCCAAATGTTTGGGCAAGGTATAATGTAGACATCGATGCTTTCCTTTGACGACTCTCCACCGATGTACATGTGGAAACACTTCCAGAAGCGTTCATCGGTGTCCGGTTCTTGATGGGGTCGTGGTGGCCTCCACGGTTTGGAACAAAACGAAACCAATGCATTGTCCGCAGGCTGTCGTCACCAGTAGGAGATGTATTACCAGTACATGGCAAAGAAACACACCAGCACCCGTATTCACTCTCCAGGGGTCTGAGATAGAAGCCCGCATCATCTTCGTTCAAATGACAAAGTTCTAACCAGGGTGTGCAGACTGCAATTTCAATGTCATTTTTTGGTCCCTTGAAAAATGGCCTAGCCAATAGCCTGTATGTAGTTTATGAAGCATTGGCTTGTTCTTCGGGCATGAAATCATGTTGTGTGTTATTATGTATAGAATATACATGTAAGCTGAGTCCCGAGTGTTTACGGGAAATAAAAACCCGAGGCAAAAAACTGAGGCGAAGCCGAGGTTTTTTGCCGAGGGTTTTTTCCCGTTAACACGAGGGCGAAGCTTATATTCTATTTAAATTATACAGTCAAATCTGTCGTAAGCGACCGCCCCTTGGTGCAAAAAAAAGCGGTCGCTTACGGCAGATGGTCTCTTACGGCAGATGTATGGTAAATCCGGCATACCAGGTATATGCTTCCATGATTGTACTCAAATCGACGAGGATAATGTGATTTTTAATATCATTTTTATTGGATATTCAACGACGACCATACCCGTATAGTACGCGTATGCGACATGGCAGTAGATCGACACTGCCTGGACTTGAGAGCTACAGCACAGCCTCAGTACAGGCCAGGCGCCAGTCGATCGCACTTGCAAGACAGCGCATTTTCACACTTTGCAGTTGACAGCGCACTGGCAAGTACAGTTTAGCACCTTACTGAACCTGGGTCGCGGTCGCTTACAGCAGATTTGAATGCAGCCACCGTGCATGAAATCGCGGTCGCTGGTCGCGCACAGCAGATGGTCGCTCTGGACAGATCAGTTTGTATGTGAAACCGTCGGTGCACGGAAAATCGGTCGCTAACGGTAGATGGTCGCCTACAGCAGAGGTCGCTAACGGCAGATTTGACTGTAGTATAAAAACCTCCAGTCCTTTTCCTAAAAAGTGGTTTTTTACAGCACCAGGTTTTTTTATAGCACCAGGTTTTTTATATGAGTGATTACCAGAAATATGAACTGCTTTTTAGAACACGAAAATGACTGGAGGTTTTTATACTATAATTTAATACCAAGAGTCCATAAACAAGAGTATGCAGCTGTGCTCTCTTTTCTATGGCCATAGTATGGGCCAGATGCGCGGCGCGCTGCCTTCATTACATCATTCAGCTGCAGCCTGGGCACTGCGGAACATCAAACACCGCACTTTCCCTCTGGCTTGAAATGAACTTTTGTACGGAACTGGAGTTCACGCGCCAAAATTTAGAGATCGCGTAGGTACTGGAACAAATCGAGCAAAACCGGATGGGCTCGTACGAGAAATTGTGGGTTTGAGTGCATGCTTTCAGAGCGTGATGAAGGCAAATTACGTAATGAAGGTAGCGCGCCGCGCACTGACCCATAACCACAGTTGCATACTCTTGTTTATGCACTCTTGTTAATACTCATGAACTTTTCTTGTAAGATTCGTGCGAAACTGAAAGTTGTAATGTACTCTCAGGACAGCTTGAAGTATTATATATAAAGTAAGTTTCAATTCTCAGTGAAGCGCAAAGGTCCAAGTGGAACGAACTATTCTTAGACTCTTATTGTAATGGAGTGTGCACTTTATAACACGTGTATAACAAAAGCTGAACGGTAGAAAATTATATGCCCCAAAGGGCCATTCTCAGCTTTGGTTTCTGGCGTTCTTATAATTATTAGTATTTCAGGCTGGGTGTTCTTGGGCTCCGTGCACGTACACCGGAATACAGCGCTGAACTAGGGACCGGCGGATTCTGCTCGAAAAGGTGGCAGATTCTGCTCGAAAAGCAGTGAAACTGGCAGAACCATACAAACCTTATGGCGGGCAATTCCTCGAATTTTGCTCCATTTCTTTATCCACATACCAACCATGCATGAAACTTACCAGAAAAAGTACCGAATTCTGCCAATTTTTCTGCCGGCAGAATCCGCCGGACCCTACGGTGAACCAATTCAATTATCATGATTATGCCCATGGACCGCATGATAGTCCATTCGAGCGCAGGTGTTGTGCGCGATCTATGGATCTGCCACATCGATCGATTTGGCTGCGCGATCGATTGATTTGGCTGCGCGATCTGTCCATCGACAGATCGCGCAACGATCGATCGATTTCGCAAAATCTATCGATCGCGCAAAAAAAAGGAGAAGCCAAATCGATCGATAGGGCTTGAAAGTGATGACGTCAAAAACGGCCAGGGAGTAGTAAGTTGACATCAGATTTCTATTTTGGATCCTTTAAGGTGTGACTTTGCTATTGCCTCAGTATGTGGGTGCATAGCAACCCACTCATGTCGTATGCAGGGGTGACTTTTACTTCGCCACCAGTTGTAACCCCGCCCCAGTAGCCAAATCAGTCAGTTTCACTGGCTGCATCACCTAACTGTGAGTAAGACGGCTTGAAATGTGCTTGGATCCATACAAAAACTGGATCCAGTCTGTGAATTTTTGAAATTGTTGCTATGCTGTGACGTAGCACTTTCAAGCCGTATTGTGAGCTGGGCGCGGAGTAGGTATGTTACTACTCCCTGGTGTAGGTATGTTACTACTCTCTGGTGAACGGCATCATCGTAATCAGTACTCGTACTGGTACAAGTACTTGGCGACTGGGCGAACACCACTCAGTAAACAGTAGATGTAGTCCTAGCAGGGCTGCCACTTGCTCCGATTTTTCGGAAATCGTCCGATTTTTGATCGCCTGTCCGACAAACCGACCGATTTTGTTCCCAAAGTGGGACAGACAGTTAAAAATGTGTTCTGGGGCCCCAACAGCAAGCCATTTTCCTAAAAAAAAATCATCGCGCGGGGCCCTGCCCCCTGCACCCCCGCCGGGGGACACCCCCTGACCCCCGTCAGATTTTTCTCCCTCCGAGTGTGGCAGCCCTGTCCTAGGGCCCATTTGAAATTTCTCACTTTTACTTGACACATGTTAAACATGGATTTTATGATCATTCCTGGATGGTTTTTGCCTCCTGAACACGATGGCATAGGTTTCGATTGCCGAATTGTGTCCGAACATGGTGAAAACATCAAAGTAGAAAAGGCCGTTATTACCATGGCAACCTAACTAGAATTGCTCCTATTTCCATTTTTACTGACACGTATAATTATGGCTAAGTAGCACCTCATTTTGCTCAGAATAAGCAGTAGATACAGTACGGCGACAAGTACTGTACTTTTACAGTGTCAAAACAAATTTACAAAGTGCAGTGAAACTTGGCTATTGGACATGTACATGTACATTACATGTCGCGTCGAATGTTAGCATTGAGGTACGTGTACATGGATGTGCAGCTAGCAGGTACATGAGACTATTTACAGGCATGCATTACTATAATTATCAGACTGCAAACACGAGAGAAGCGTCAGACGGTTCGGCGTTACACTTCAACTGAGAGAATAGGTATTGTAACCCAAGTACTGACAGAAGAAGGAAAGGGTGGTAGGAAACTGTCAGAGTCTAAGGAAAGAAGTGCTATAGCCTATAGGACAGTTTCAACCTGAACTAATTTACTCGAAGTACGTGTAGATAATACGATAGATCTCGCAGCAATGTAAGAAGGACAACACTACTTGTATGCGATGGCAGTGCTGTAACGAAAAAATGATGAAAGTGAGAATACCAAAATCCTTTGCATACTAGTAGATACTAGCAATAAAACAGTCCAAACATTGGCTAGCTTGTGACTATACTTAAATGCTTTCAAAAGACTTCAAGGCTGCAGTTGGACAACACTCACATGTGAATAGCCGCAGTTTAAAAAGCTGATCGATCCCAACATTGTGATGCGAATACTTTCGCTTCCATGTGTTTCACTTTAACTGAAGTTGTTCTTCCGTCTGAGCTTTGGAAACTCTACGCCGTACAGCTGAGCCCATCTCTACTCCGCCACCTACACCATCACTGTTGGCTCTGCAGTCAGGGACAATTCTTTAGCCACTAGTACAGGAGGTATTATATAAACATGTTTTCCCTCTTCACCGCCGCTCTTGAATCGCATCAACTACGTGCCGTGATCAGTTCAGGAGAGACAAGCCATGACATTGGACATCGGACTCTTTCTTGCAGTTAGTGTTTTATAAGTATAACTGTAGTTTCACACTGCCTACAAGTTGTAGGCCCAGCCATCAAATTCTGCGACAAGGAAATGATTCTTCTACTGCTGGTGGTGCATATTGTGATAGGTTACCTCCAGGTACTCGGATTTCGTTTTTGTAACACTCCACACCACATAGCTACTCCCTCTCACTGCAGAATGCCACTTCTAAGGCAGTTGTCCTAGAGCTGTTGAGCTGGTAAATAGGTTTTGTGCAAATGGTAGCTGATCACCACGGTCGGTGTGTTCAAATCATGTTACTAACACTAGCCGCTCTTGTAGATTCGAATCAAATGCTCG